CCAGCCAAGTCCAAGGATGTTGTTGAGCCAAGAGCGTAGTTGAGTCCCGGGGATGATGGCTCCTCTCCAGCAGTTAACTGTGACTGTTGCATAACCTTGGCTTCTCTGCAGGTCATAAGACTTAGAGGGCTCAACTAGGTAGAAAACTAGGAAGCCAGCCTTGGAGTGCAGAGACGGATGAATCACAGAATCCAGGCTCAACCCCAAAACTAGTTTACTCTTCGGTCACAAAAAATGATAGTCCTTGGGAACTTAAATCCAAAGGCTCTATGTTGAGCAAGCACATATTTTTTTTTTAATTTTTATTATTTAATATTATTTTTAGTTATGTGTCTGTGTGTGGGTACACACACATGAACGCAACACCTGTGCAGGTCAGCGGCATCAGATTCTCCCTGAGCTGAAGTTCCAGGTAGTTGTGAACTGTGTGTGCTAGGATTCGAACTCACATCTTCAAAAGCAGAGCGAGCTCTGAACCGCTGAGCCCCTACTCCAGCATCTATTTTGCATATATTTTGATTGTTTTCACATATATTAAGTTGTGCAGCTGTCACTTCAAATTTGTAATGCTCGTGTCACTGCAAAAAGAAGCCCTGTGCCGATGAACTCACTCCCCATCTCCCCGAAGCCCTCCTCTGCCAGCCGTCATTAATCCACTGTCTAGGGATCTGTTTACTCCTGGTGTTTCACACTGATGGACTCATAGGATACACAGCCCTTCCCACATCTTCCTCCTAAGCATCTACTTTCATTTGTTTGCTAGAGACAGGTCTCCCAAGTAGCCCAGGCTGGCCTTGAACTCAAAGCCTTTCTGCTTCCGTCTTTCAAGCGTTTGGATTGTAGGGATGCACTACTTTAGCTGGCAAGCATCCTGCTCTCAAGGGTCATCCATGCCGAAGCAGGTGTTAGTGTATATAATATAATTCCTCTATACAGCTGAGTAGAATTCCACTCCTGGGATGGACCCTGCTATCTAACAATCAGTTGATAGGCATTTGGGTTATTTCTATATTTCCCTACTGTAAGTGTTGTTAATGTGTATTCTCACATGGATGTGTTTTCATTTCTCCTGGGAGCAGAATGGCTGGGGCCATGGAACACTCTGCTTAACTTTAGGAGGCTCTGTCTGATCGGTCTCCTTCCACAGTGACCACACCACTTTCCAGTTCTGTGCAGTGTGTGAACTTCTGACTTCTGGGCTAGTGAGATGGCTCAGCCGGTGCATACAGAAAAAAGTCCCTATCAGATCTGGGATTTTCTAGGGTTGTTATAAGTAATTTTTCCTGCCGGCCTGGTCTCACTCCTGCATCAGCCCCAAATAACACACAGAGATGCTGTATTAGATATAAGGCTGTTAGCCTGTTACTAGTGTTTCTTATTGGCTAGCTCTGTCTTAAATATTAGCCCATTCCTATCAATCTAAATGTTTCCACGTGGTCTTGTTTTACTGGAGAGAGGGCCGGGCGTGCTACCCTGTTGGTCCTACATTTTGAAACTCCTCCCTATACTTCCACATCCTCCTTGTCTCCTAGTCCCATCTATCTTGCTTTCCTATTGGCCAACAGTGCTTTTATTCATCAACCAGTAAGAGAAACATATTTACAGAATGACATCTCCTGCCGTTGTGGGTTAGTGTTTTAGTGTCGTGTTGGTGGATGTGGGCGGGGGAGCTTATGTGTAGCAGGTTAACAGGACCTGGGTCTAGGAGGGACTGTCACAGGTAAACATCTTCAACGAAGTCCTGACCGTGAAAGATGAAGCAGAGGAATAAAAATATTCTATAAGACAGGGGTGCTGGGGACGTGGCTGCCCTGGGTTCTCTTCCCATCACTGCATCAACCAGGTGTGATGGTGAACACCTCAATCCCAGCACTCAGGAGGATTTAAAGGTTAGCCTCTGCTATATAATGAGTTTGAGGATAGCCTGTGCTACATGAGACCCTTTCTCAGCTTAAAAAATAAAAAGCTGGGGAGATGGCTCAGAGGGTAGAGAGCTTATATAGTGCAAACATGAAGACCTAAGTTCAGATTCCTAGAACTTACATAAAAGCCAAATGCAGTGGCATGTGCCTGGATTCCCAGTGTTTCTATGACCAGTGGCGCACATGGGAGAATTCTTGGAGCTTGCAGCCCACCTAGCCCCCCATCTCAAATAAGACCCCATCTCAAATAAGGTGGTAGTGAGGATCAACATCGAGGTTGTTCTCTGACCTCCTCACTTAAACTGTGGGGATATGCACATCATTTGACCCCACCCCCACAACAGCACACACACACACACACACACAGGCACACACACACACACACACACATAACACACACACACACAGAGGCACACGGGCACACACACACACACACACACACACACACACACACACACACACACGTTCAACAAGGTTGAAAAAGAAACAAGTCCGTAAGTGTCTAGAGGATGTAGACGGGTAGCAGAATGAATTCAAGCCTTAGTGTGTTCAAATCCCTGAGCTTCATCCTTAGAGTGTGGACGTACCCGAGGGTAACACATGGACATCCCGGACAGTGTGAGCTAATCCTGGGTTCTGGGTAGGAATTTGGTGCTTTTCTTCATAGTATGTATTGTAAGAATACCTGACTCAAGAGATCCCTGGTAGCCATCCATGACTACTTAGAATATGAAGGGCTGGCCATGAGAAAAGGCCAGGGCCATTGGCTGCAGGACTGTCCTCATTCCTGCCTACCCAAGAGTAGGCTGGAGCTGGCACATTGGTTGTACATCAGTGCCAACATTGCAATCCGTGTTTTGGTTCTTCTGGGAAATGAGATGGGACAAGGAGGCTGGCAGGGACCTGGAGGGGACTGGGTCACCCTAGCTACAGTGCTCTTTTGTCTGTAGCCTGCAGGGAGGTGAGTAGATCTGTGTGCAGGCTACAGACCTAGGCCCACCAGCTGCAATCGGATCCCTCTCCCTCTGTGCCCTCAGTCTATAAATAGATCCCACATCAGGGGCCAGGCACAGCTAGAGGCCACACCAGACAACTCAAACTCCACCCAACACACAGGCAGCTGGGACGTCTGGGCCTCCCAGAGATCCAGGATGTGTGCCAACCCCTCTGTCCCTCCCTATGGCCGTCAGACCAGTGGCAGGCTTTGTGCTCGGGTGTGGCCATACCCATGAAGGCAGGGGCTGGGAAGGTGCTTCCGTGGGGAAAGAGCATTTGCAGAGCAGGCATGAAGACCTGAGTTCGAATCCTCAGAACTCACAAAAAAGCTGGATATGGTAGTGAGTGTCTGTAACCCCAGCGTTGCCATGGGGAGACAGACAGGAAGTAAAGACAGAAGTTCCCGGGGCCAGCTAGCCTGATGTGTGCTCAGGGGAAACAACAGACCCCCATCTCAAACGCAGCCGAGTGAGGACCGACACAGGGCTGTCCTCTGTCCACACACACAGACTCACAACTGTGCACACGAGTGTACATCACACACATATACACACACACTCGCGCGCGCCAGTGGCCTGATTTAGTTGCCAAGGCCAAGGGTTTCAAGCTTCCCTCCTGCCAGTTTTTAATATGTTAATTTTGTAAGGTTTGGCACAAACCCTCCTCCAGTCTTATTCTCTGCCCTATTCTCCTGCCTCAGCAACTTGAGAGTAGGGATGGAAGACTTCTGAGATGAGATCACACAGGTGGTTAACAAATGTTCACACCCTAGTCTGGAAGCTTCATGGGGTCAGGTGGTAACCCCCCCCCCCCCCCCAGTTCTAGGTGGCTGAACAGAGAGTGTCCATTGCCATCCTTCAGTCCATTGCCCTGACTCCCCCGGCTCATCGCTAATGTCTAGGGCCTAAGGGGCGCCTGGCATGGGTGTAGAGGGCTTTGCTCCTACAGACGGTGATTTCTCAGTACTTATGCAGTCTGTGAGTGTGCATGTGCCCAGCCCTGTTTGACATACTTTTGCAACCTTGTAAGGAATGCACTGTTAATTCGTTTTTAATTTATGTGTGCGTGTGTGCATGTGTGTGTATGTGTATAGGTCAGAGATCAATGTCAGGTGTCTTTTTTCAGTCATTCCCCACATTTCATTTATTTGTTTGTTTGTTTGTCTGTTTATTTATTTTTTGAAGCAGGGTCTCTCACTGGGACCTGAAACCAATTTGGCTAGTCTGGCAGGCCAGTGTTTCCCACGGGATCTGCCTGATTGCACACAGGAGCACCTGTACCACAGCTGACTTTCCCAGGTGGATTCTGGAGATCTAGACTCAGTTCATAATATTTGTGCGGCAAGGACTTTATCCCCTGAGCCATCTCCCCATCCCAGGTCATTGCTACTTTAACATTCTTCTCTGTAAAAACAAGTGTAATCGGTGTCGGCAACCGCCATGGCCACATCACAGCGCTGTCCATTGTGCTGGAACTCTGGCTTCTCCACTGCTGAGAGGCTTCCGCCGGATTCTTTCCCCTTCCCCATGTGTTCTTTCCCTGTCTTCCTTCTTTCCGCATGTGTCTGTGGGTGGTATGTGTGTGTATGTATACACATACCTGTGGAGGCCCAAGGCTGGCCTACATTCCCTGTTGTTCTCCACTTTACTCAACGAGGCAGGGTGTCAAAGGAAACCCAAGCCTCACCAATATGACTAGTCTAGCTATTCAGCTTGCATCAGGAATTTCCTCTCTGCTTTCTGAGTCCCATGCCCGCCCAGCATTTATGTGGGCGATGGGAACCTAATCTCTGGTCTTCATTGTTTGCATGGCAAGGGTTTTACCTGATGATCCATCTTCCCAGCCTTCATTTTCTGTCTTTCCAGGCTTCCTCAGCGGGAAGGAGTTCCCCAAATCCCTGTGCATATGTGTCCTCATCCGGGTAGGGGCTGCTCTTGCTCGGCTTGTCCCCTGAGTTTGCAAATGAAATATTTAGTGATATCTGCTGGGTGAAGGCCTGACCAGCCATGTTTGACTCAAGGTAGGAGCCAGATACCCTGGGAGCCCGACAGTGACCAGGCCTCTATACTCTCTTACAGCCACTGCAGTGTTGAGGGAGATGGACAAACCGCTGATCAGTCGCCGCCTGGTGGACAGTGATGGCAGCCTGGCTGAGGTCCCCGACAAGGCCCCCAAAGTGGGCATCCTGGGCAGTGGGGATTTTGCCCGCTCCCTGGCTATGCGCCTGGTGGGCTCTGGCTTCAGTGTGGTGGTGGGCAGCCGTAACCCCAAACGCACAGCTGGCCTCTTCCCCTCCGCAGCCCAAGTGACTTTCCAGGAGGAAGCTGTGAGCTCTCCACAGGTCATCTTTGTAGCCATGTTCCGGGAGCACTACTCCTCACTGTGCAGTCTTAGTGACCAGCTGGCTGGCAAGACCCTAGTGGATGTAAGCAACCCCACAGAGACCGAGCATCTTCAGGAACACCAGTCGAATGCCGAGTACCTGGCCTCACTCTTCCCTGCTTGCACTGTGGTCAAGGCCTTCAATGTCATCTCTGCCTGGGCCCTGCAAGCTGGCCCAAAGGACGGGAACAGGCAGGTAGGTGCCAGCATCCCTCACCTCGCTCTAAAAGCCTCAGCTTACACAGCAGGAAGTCGAAGCTTGGAGACATGAATGATCTTAGCCCAGCACTGGTGAGTTGGGATTTGAACTCCATTTATATGGATGTGGGATCCATGTTCTTTTTGAGATGGGAACTGGCTTTCCTCTCAGAGCATGAAGGGAAGGATGGTGCCCGTTGACTTGGGAGTTGACAAGGAGACACTTTGGGGCTGGGGGGATGGTGCAGTGGGCAAAACGCATGCCATGCAACCGTTAGAACCTTAGCTTACTTAATTTATATCCACATGAAGACTGTATGTGGTGGTCGTAATCCCAGCACTGGGGGGGGGGGTTCAGAAACAGGGAACCCCTAAAGCTTGGTAGCCAACCAGTCTAGCCAAAAAAGGGAAGCCTCTGGTCCAGTGAGAGACCCTATTTCAGAAACAAAGTGGAAAGGGATAGGAGAAGACACCTGACTTCACCTCTGATCTCAACAGGGTCACACATGAACTCACATGTACCCCGCAAACCTCACAAACACCACACGTACAACCGAAAGAAACCCAGACCCCACACACGCGATAGAATGTTCACCGATAAACCTATCCAGGGCTCAGCTCTGAGAGAAGCTAGAGGTACCTGGCCACTGCTCACTGTGTGACATAGATGTGGCTGCACCGGGGGACTTACAGCTGGGGAATAGACAGGTACAGTGGACAGGTTTTTATGTGGTGCTGCGCTGTCCTTTCTTTCCTGTTGCTGAGCCAGCACACTGCCTTAAAGCAACTTAGGAGGCAACGGGCTTGTTTCAGCCTACCGGTCACAGGCTGTCGCTGAGCTAAGTTGGGGTAAGGACCCGGTCTTTGTGCTATTTCATGCAGCATCACGGCTGTGCTCCCAGCCAAAAAGGGAAGTACAACAGAGGTTCACTGGCTCATTCAGGCTCATGGCTAACTCACTTTCTTACACAGCTCAGGACCACCTGCCTAGGGATGGTGCCTCCCACAGTGGGCTGGGCCCTCCTGCATCAACTAACAATGAAGACAGTCCCCCATAGACATGCCCGCAGGCACATCTGATTTGGGCGATTGCTTAATTGAGGCTCTCTCAGGTGACTTAATGGTTGAAGCTGACTAGGACGGAGGGCTTGTTGGAGAAGACCCTCAGCTGGCCTGAGACTCAGGATCAGGAAGCAGGGAGGGCGCACCAGGCTGATTTGACAACCTGCAAAGGTACCAGAGTAAAAACCGAGGCTCTCGGAGCTTTGTTCATCTGAAAGATGGGTGTGTTAGTACTGACCTTAGGCTGTACAGGAGGCTGAGATCGCTACTCAGACAGACTTACAGCTGGAGACTAGATAGACCTCAGCTTTGTCAACAGGGGCCCTCAGGGGCTTTGGGGGCCCAAAGATACCAATGTGTCTTCCACTGGAGCTCAGGAGGTGCACTGGACTTGTGGGCCAAAGGATAGCACCACACCAAACACCTCTGCACTGAAGGGCGTGTCTGCAGCTGCTCCGCACTTGCGGCGGCCACATGCAAGAGCAGTCAGTCCTCAGAAGCAGCTGTTCCAGAGGCATCTACCGCGATGGTGATGTCACTGGGCCAGCAGGACACCCACAGGGAGAGCTTTGTCTCTTCATCTCCAGGGGAGTCCACAGGGTCTCCGTTCCTAGCTCCTTGGCTTGAGCATCAGAGCCATCATGAATTATCAGTTGGCCATTCACTGGTGCCCGTCCCCCTGTGCCTCAGTTTCTTCAGCTCACCGAGGAGCTCGACCCTGGTGGTCACCATAGTCATGCCCATACCTGTGACTCTGGCCAACTGTCCTGTCCCCCTCTTTCTCCCCACAGGTGCTCATCTGTAGTGACCAGCTGGAAGCCAAGCACACCATCTCAGAGATGGCCCGCGCCATGGGTTTCACACCCGTGGACATGGGGTCCCTGGCCTCAGCCCGGGAGATAGAAGCCATACCCCTGCGCCTCTTCCCGTCCTGGAAGGTGCCCGCCCTCCTGGCCCTGGGGCTCTTTGTGTTCTTCTATGTCTATAACTTCATCAGGGATGTTCTGCATCCGTACGTGCGGAAGCATGAGAACAAGTTCTACAAGATGCCCTTGTCTGTGGTCAACACCACACTACCCTGTGTGGCTTACGTGCTGCTGTCCCTGGTGTACCTGCCTGGTGTGCTGGCGGCTGCTCTTCAGCTGAGGCGGGGGACCAAGTACCAGCGCTTCCCGGACTGGCTGGACCACTGGCTGCGGCATCGCAAGCAGATCGGGCTGCTCAGTTTCTTCTTCGGAGTGCTGCACGCTCTCTACAGCCTTTGCCTTCCTCTGCGCCGCTCCAACCGCTATGACCTGGTCAACCTGGCTGTGAAGCAGGTACAACCCACCACCTCCCCTGCGAGCTAGCTGGGTACCATTGTGACTGTCCTCACTCATGCAGAATTAAGCAAGGCAGGGCCAGCTGAGAGAGCAGGTATAGAAGTTCTTGAGCACCGAGTTGGAAGATATAGCAGAACAAGAGTGCCAGGATGTGTGTGTGTGTGTGTGTGTGTGTGTGTGTGGTGTTACTGCCTGTAAGTGTGGGTATGTATGTTCCTGCCATGGACCACCTGCAGCAGTCAGGGTTGGTCCTCACCTTCTACCTTGTGTGAGACAGAGTATGTTGGCGTTCCCTCTGCTTACCGTAGACTAGCTGTCCTTCAACTTTCTAAGACTCTCCTGTCTTTGCGTTCCTTCTCCGCAGAGCAGTGTTGGGACTGTAGGCACGCACTACAGCATCTAGAATTATGTGGGTTTGGGGGATCTGGAGTCAGACCCTATGGATTGCCAGCAAGCCCCACATCTCCCTGTCTCCACCTCCCATCTTTGCATGCCTAGGCTTAACACTGTGTGTGCATGTGTGTGTGTGCTTTTGTGGCAAGCGCTTTTCAGTGAAGCATCTCCCCAGCCTATGCCCAGCTTATTCATGGGTCCCAGGATTCAAACACAGATCCTCACGCTTGTAGGACAAGCACTTTACCAACTGAGATGCCGCCTTAGCTCTCATCTTTATCTGCGATGAGGTCGAATTTACTCATTTAAGAAAGCCATATGGCGCTGCTTTGCCCAGTGGGTTCCTGAACAGCGGAGGTGTTGGAGCCAAGCGGTCGGAATGGTGGCATGGGGTTAGAATGGTGTGGCGTGGGCCAGCAGCAGTAGCACGTAGAAGCAGCTTGCCCACGTCTTGCCTCCTTTGCTGCTCAGTTCTCTACTCTTATCCCCAAGTTCAGGACTCCTTTTTCCCTTTCCCATGTCAGCCTGGGGCCCACGTAGGACAGGGTTCAGCCCAGGGCTAACAAAGTTCATCTTACCCACCCTCACCCCAGCAGAAGCTGCTCAGGGTGCAGGGACCCCCACGAGGCCAAGCCCCACCCTGGCAGGCTCACCTAGGGACACAGAGGACACAGGAGTGAGTGAGGTCACGCCACAGCTGGACCACAGGCCTCCACCCTGCCCACCTCTGGCACCTGGTACCACCTCTGTGGGCACAGGCTTTGCTCAGGGGGGAAGCACCAGACTCAGGCAAGGGAGTGAGGTCCTGGCTGGGACTAAGAAGCGAAAAAGTAATAGTCACAAGCTCTTCCAAAGGAGCTCTCTGTGTTCCCAGCACACTGGAAGAGCTGTACAAACCCACAGTGGATTCATCTATCCCCCTCCCCTATTCGTTCCTTAGAGCAAGAGCTGATCTTTTACAGATGAGAAAAGCCAGGGCACTGAGAGGGGAAGGAACTAGGCTGAAGACACACAGCAGTGTTAGCATCCAGACCTGACCGCGCTGGAGCCCATATTACTTTCTACAGAACAACAAATCAAATTGACAGTTGGGTAAATGACCTCAGAATTTGAGTCATTTATTCATTCGCTGGGCACTGGCTCCATTAGGCCCCCGTTGCCACAGGAATGAATAAAAAAGGTGCAGTCTTGTCCCTGGCCTCAGCTGGTGGGGGTGGCAGGGAGGTCTGATGAGCAGATGTCCCCTCTCATCCCCCAACTGGAACGCACACTGTGGGCTGGGGTGACTTTGCCAGCAGAGTGCTTGCATAGCATGTGTTGGAGTCTCAGCACTGCTAAACGTGTGTGTGTGTTTGTGTGTGTGTGTATGTGTGCGTGTGTGTGTGTGTGTGTGTGTGTGTGTGTGCGCATGCGCGTGTGCACTTGCAAGAGCAGCACTCAGGATATGGGAGTTGAAGGCCACCCTGGGCTACTTAGTGAGTTGTAGGCCAGCCTGAGCTACGTGAAACCCTGTCTCAAAAACAACATAGTAAAATAGTCAACATAAATAATCAATAAAATAAAACAATCACTAGAAGCCTCAAGCCCTTTTGACCGTGGGGTCCCAGGGCATAAGTCATTGTCATTTCTTAGGGTTAATGGCTTTGATGTTCTGTATGGCTCGGGCTCTTTTTGTTTTACTGTGTTAGGGAGACAACCCAGGATCTCACATAGGCTAAACGAGTACTCTACCACAGAGTTACATACCCAATCCCTCCTCCAACACCCCCTTTGTTTTTCTTTTCTTCTCTCTCTCTCTTTAAAAATTGAGACAGGGTCTCACTAAGTGGCCTGGGGTATCCTTGAACTTATCTGTAGCCCAGAAGTTGTGATCCTGCTGCCTCATCTTCCTAGGGCAATTGAGCTTACAGACCTATAGCAACATTGATATTTTCTCCTACAAAGGGTGAAGCTCCCCTGGTGTGGGAGTCGTGTACTACTGAAGGGGCTTCAGACAGCGTGTCCTGCCCTGGAAGCAGTGTCGCAGGGCTCCGGGCCCTGTGCGCTCAGTCCTCTCTGCTGAGTCTGTTAGTGTAGAGCAGAGAAAGAAAAGTCCCACCTTCTCCCAGTGCACAAAGGAAGCCACGGTCCCCTGCCCAGCCCCGACTAATCGCCCTTTTCTGTGTGTATGTGCATGTGCATGCTCACCTTGTGTGTGCAGGTGTACATGCATGTGAAGGCACACAGATGTGTGTGCCTGTACACACAGAGGCAGAGACAACCTGGGCTGTCAATCTAAGTGCTCTCCATCTTAGGTCTCCTCCTGTTTGTTTGTTTGTCTTATTATTGTTATTATTATTATTTTAAGATAAGGTCTCTTACTTGCCTGGAACTTGCTAAGCAGGGTTATGTGGCCTGGCCAATGAGTCTGCCTCCCCAGTGCTGGGGTGACAAGCACATGCCATCATGCCCAGCTGTTTTACGTGACCCAACAATGTTACATTATCTACCTGGCCCAGCCCCTCCTGGAGTTATATTAAGTGTGTTGACTTCACACCAATTTCATGGCGCAGATGGCACTGGTGAATCGTCCCACTCCTACAGAACATAGTCTGTCCCCTAAAGGGGCTTCAGCTGTTTCTCAAGGGGAGATCCAGACTGATGGAGCACGTCTGTCATGACACTCAGAGAAAGGCTGGTAAATGCTAATGCCTAGCAGTGGTGAGCCAATTCAAGCTGGTTGCGTTTAGGCAGTGACAGGTAGGCCACACTGATTGGCTGCACCTTTGGGTCCCAGACCGGGACACTGCTGGAGAACATTGTATCCAGTCCCTGAAGCCACCCTTGTCTGCAGGAAACGGCCACCTTGTCTGCCTTTGGCCACCTCAGACAGTGCCTCTCTGTGGCCACTGCTCACACTGGCTGCTGCATGGCCTTGTGGGAATAAGGAGCCGATCAACCTTAACTCTCGAACACAGGAAACTCCTCGGAGATTTCCCTGAATCCCAAGACAGTGCAGCCTGGGAGGCCAAGGCCTTCACGACCCCGTGTTTGTCACAGCATCTTTGCTATCTCTAACTGGTGTGTTGGCATGACTTTGTGGCTTGCCTGTGCTGTTCCTGGAGACGCATTTCCTGGTTAGTTAGAAGTCAAGGTTGGAAGCAACATTTGACCCATGGGCAGCCTTCCCCATCCTCCTCACCCCAAAGCTAGCCAGCATGGGGCCATCAGAGAAGAAGTAAACCTTAGCTGACCGTGGGCCTGGGGAGATCCCCGGGGCTCTGTGGCCAGCAGAGAGGCAAGTTCCACATTCAGTAAGAAACCATCTTTATAAACAAGGTAGTCAACTCCTGAAGAATGATACCCAAGGTTGACCCCTGACCTCCACACAAACTAAAACACACATGCACTCATACCATAAATGTGGCAATGATCCAGACCCCCAGGCACGTTCCCTGCCCTTCCCTCCTCATCGCTGCAGTGGTGGCGAGGCACCCATTTTGCAAGCCACTGTTGTCAACAGTGCAGTCATGCACGCTGGACTTGTGACATTAGCCACCTGAGCTCAGCGAGCCGATGAGTAATGAGGGAACAACAGAGCACATGGAGATGACTCGCTTCTCTAATGTCACCAGCCCTGAGTCAGTCTTGTTCTGGGGCTGCTCTGGCAGGGACCTGTGCCCTCTGCAGGATCAGACCAGTCTCTCCCCATTGGCAAACACTGTTCCAGCTAGTTTCACCACATCGCGGTTACCAGCCAAAATCCCAGCTTGTTAGGATCTGTCAGATAAAGAAACGGGTCCAGAAATGGTGCCTCGGAGTCCCACAAGGCTAGTTAGTGGTCAGGAAAGAAGCCTGTCTCCCAACTCCTGGTCCTTTGTGGCCTTCAGACACCAATATAAAGAAACCTGCCCTAAAATAATACAGAGCAGGAAACGGGTTGCAGCTCAGCCAGAAGAGCGTTTGTTTAGCATGCACAAAGCCCTGGGGCCCATCCCAGCAACGCCCACAGCCTAGCAGCGTGACACAAGCTTGAAATTATGCACTTACTTGGGAAGTGGAGGCAGGAGGGTCAGAGTTTAAGGTCATTCTCCACTACATTGTGAGCTGGAGGACAGCCTGAGCTGCATGAGACCTTGTCTCAAAAAACAAACCAGGACACCGTTTTTTTAGATGGCATTTTCCCACTTCTTTGGTTTCTTTTTATAAGCTTTGCAGCCATTTTTGTTTAGCCCCTGGATTCATTTTTAATATTTTATTCCAGTGACAGGCTTACGTGAGGTTTTTTTCCCCCCTGCTGAAGTAGACACACGCGCCCGCGCGTGCACACACACACACACACACACACACACACACACACACACACGTCTGAGTCATTCTGTAGAGGCAGAGAGCAGCCTGCTTAGTCCTCTTTCCTTGGGGAGGCTTTCTTGCTTTCCTGATGGCAGATTAAAGGACTGGTATCCAGGGCTGAGCTGGGAAATGATGACGGTCCTAATGGAAGGACCTTGATTCCAATTCTTCTCCATGCGGTGGCTGGGTCAGGGAGTGCCAGTGAGTGAGGAGAGGTGATCTCAGGGCTGCAGAGTATCCCTGATGAATGTGTCCATGGAGCCCAGTGGGAGTCACCAACATCATAAAGGGCCCATGCTCTCATTCTTTGTAGCTCAGCACATAGTAGGCACTTTCTGAGTGCTTGCTCAACTAACTGTCAGTCTGTTGCCTGGCAACAGTTGAGCCACAGCTATATGCCTCAGAGAGAAAAGGACGCGAAAGGGGTCTGGGGGGTTTGAGTTTGGAGATTGGGGTGGGGGGGGGCTGGGTAGCGCTGAGTGGCGTTGTGTGTCCTGAGTGTAAGCCGGTAATGAAGCAGGTTAGAAAGGGTGCAGGTGAGACAGCTGGGAACGGAGCAGCTGGGAGGGAAGGAACTGGCAGCTGGGAGTCCACAGACTGAGGGGATGCAATCCCGAAATGCTACCTTTCCACTGTCCTGCACTGTGGGGCCGGGAAGTAATGCGGTACAGCCATGCTTAGGAACATAGACTTGGTGGTTGGGGGTTAGCTATGAGACAGTCTCGATGAGTAGCCCAGGCTAGGCGTGCCCCAGTGACCCTTCCTGGCTCAGCTTCCCGAGTGCTGGAATTACGGGCATGCATCCCCAGGCCCAGCTGAGTGATCTCTTACCCTCAAGCTGAGGTTGGCCAGCAGCCAGGAAGGGAGCCATGACTTTGACAAATCAACTCAATCTTTGCCTCTTGTTTCCTTGATCCCTAAAGTGGGCATATATTGCTCTCTATTTTAAGGGGACATCGCGAGATTTATGATTTTTTTAAAGATTTTATTTATTTAGTGATTATTGGCTTCTTTCAAGATAGAGTTTTTCTGTGTCCTGGCTGTCCTGCAACTTGCTCTGTAGACCAGAATGGCCTTGAACTCACAGAGATCTGACTGTTTCTGCCTCTCAAAGCAAGTGCTGGGATTAAAGGCCTGCGCCACCACCGCCTGGCTTAAAGATTTTTAAAAATAACTTCTGTATGTCCACGTATGGGTATGTGTCATACATGTACACTTGAGTACAAGTGCTCTCGAAGGCCAGAGGGGGTGTCAGAGCCTGGAGTGGGAGTTACAGGTGGTGGTGAGCTGTCAGACATGGGTCCTCTGCAAGAGCAGCAAGTGCGTTTAATTGCTGAGCCATCTCTCCAGCCAGTATGGCTTCCAAACACCTGGGAAGCACTTAGGATGTAGCTCGCACATGTTAGCTATGCAGCAGAGCATGAGCATAGCTGTGGCTTTTGTCCTTTGATGTACCCACAGGTGCTCCACAGTGACACAGGCTCTAGGGTGCCAGCTTTTGCTAATCGTCGTCATGGTTCTTCTTCTGCCAGGTCCTGGCCAACAAGAGCCACCTCTGGGTTGAGGAAGAAGTCTGGCGTATGGAGATCTACCTCTCCCTGGGTGTGCTGGCCCTGGGTATGCTGTCACTGCTGGCTGCCACCTCACTCCCATCCATTGCCAATTCACTCAACTGGAAGGAGTTCAGCTTCGTGCAGGTAAAGCAGATTCCCCTTGACCGCCAGCTGCAGCTTGGCCCTGGGCCACCCTGGTGTTGTGCTCTATGCATTGTTTCAGCTTAGATCCTGGTTGTACCAGGACACTGGGTCAGATGAGGAGGACTCCCCATCTTGTAGGCTCTCCCAACCTCCTGGTCCTGCTTCAGCTTGACCAGGGCAAGTTAATCTTCCTGACCCTGGGAAGTCTACTACATCTGACAAAGATGGAGGACAGAGCATGGAACCCTGGGATGAACTTGCTCAGGGAACATGGTGCTTCCGTGCAGAGTCATTGCTCCTGGTGTATGTGGGAGGCAGTGAGCTGTGAGTGCACTTAAACCTCCCTCCACCAACACACACACACACACACACACACACACACACACACACACACACACACACTCAGCTCACTGCTCTGCGCCCCTGTGGGGCAGTTGGGAACTAAGTGTGAGAACTGCTGTGTGATGGGATGAAGCAGTGCTTCCTAAATGGTGCTGTTTCTTGGACAAATCCAGAGAAAAGACTGGGGTGTCACTTACATTACACGTAGAATACTTGCTAAGCATGTGCAAGGCCCTTACTTAAATCTCTGTAAGATAGAGATAGATGAATGATAGATTGATTGATAGATAGATAGATAGATAGATAGATAGATAGATAGATAGATAGATCAGACAGGCAGACAGACAGATAGATACATACATAGCTAGATCAGACAGGCAGAGAGATAAATAGATAACAGGTAGGTAGGTAGATAGATAGATAGATAGATAGATAGATAGATAGATAGATAGATAGATCAGACAGGCAGACAGATAAATAGACAGATAGATAGATAGACAGATAGATACATACATAGATACATAGCTAGATTAGACAGGCAGAGAGATAAATAGATAACAGTAGGTAGGTAGATAGATAGTAGATAGATAGATGACAGGTAGATAGATGACAGATTGATAGATGATAGATAGATAGATGATGGATAGATGATAGCGTGGATTCATGTTGGTATAGGTGGACCGATGGGTGGACAGATAGATGAATGACTTCATGTGTGAACTGATGGTAATAGGTAGACAGATGGTAATTCTCCAATAAATAAATTATGGCTTTACTTTCTGTAGGAATGTCACAGTGTACCTCGGCACATCAGATATTCTAGTATGGTTCTACACACACAAACTTCTGGTAACTGGGTATCTGTGAACACTGCCACCTCCGTTCTGTTCCTCAGCTGACAGCTGCCCCCACACTCAGGGAGACACGCTGCTGGGAAAGGGTCTCTCCTTGCAATTTTCAAGGCAGTGGTCACTCTGAGCACATGCCCTATGCCAGGTGTCACTATAGGCCTGGGGTCAAGGTGAGCAGAGATACTGTAAGGGACACAACCCCCATGGGGGACGTCTCAAATTCCCTGGCACCCCCAGTGTTCTTCAGAAAGTACAGAGTACAGGTCAGTACTGGCAGAGCAACTCATCCCTCTGGTAGACAGAGGCTGACTCATCTTGGCTCCTGCCAGTTGTATTATATCAGGGCAGAAAACAGCCATATTCACCCTGCACTGTCAACCAAAATCTGTAGCTTCTGTCTTCAACAAGGACTCCGAGGGACAGTGACAGAATACTGCTCTTATATAACCCAAATTAATTCTTTGTGACTGGGACCCTTAGCGTACCTTAGGACCAAACAGTTGTGGCTGATTTCTAAAGCATGGCTGCCAATCTCCAGGGCTGTGCTTTTCCCAGAAGGCCACTGGAGGAGGGCTCAGGGCTGACACATGCTGGCCTAAGAGGGTGGGAAGGGAAGGAATTTTCTTGATCTGCCACTAATCCCTGTTTTTCTCAGACCCAAATCTCGGATTTTTCACTTCCCGCCTCAAGTATCCTGGCTATGTGGTTTGGTCACAATTAAAACAGACTGTGGGTCGCTTCCCTTTCCAGAAAGTTCTTCCCTTAAGCAGCTGTAGATTACATGCTCTGGCTCTGGCTGCTGGAGGAAGCCTATGGATTTGGTTTTGTTAGCAAAAGCTGGCTGCGACTCCCGAAGTCATGCTTTGCTTTACATATTGAAGCTAGGGGTTTCATTTATGGGGGCTGTGCCTGCACTGTAGAACCTCATGCTCTCTCTACCAAGAGCCCCAGGATGGAGGAGGGTCTGCCAGGGGCTCCAAAGTCAGTTCCAACACCACCTGCTCTGTGGGTGTGGGCAGACCATGCCCCCGCCCCAAACCTCAATTTACATTCCTGAAAAATGAAATTGATGCCATCAGAGACATTTTTCGTGAGACACAGTGAAAATTTACAGGTGAAAGGAAAATAGCATACCGCCATTCTTCTTGGGGTGTCTGCTCAGAGCCCCACTATCTCTGATAAGCACCATCCAGCTGTTTCTGTTTTGGTTTTGGAGACGGGGTCTCACTGCGTTACACACTAGCCTCAAACTCTTGGCTGTACCCTGGGCGTGTGTAATGTGTAAAGCACCTCTCGTTGTCAACCACCATCAAACATGTCCATTGCGGGGGGGGGGGGGGTGGAGGGTAAAGCCACCGAGCACTTCTAGTGAGATACAGATGTCAGGCCAAGATGCTCAGGGCCAGCCTGGAAGTCCCGGTGGCCCCCTAAATGTGCTGCCCTCTGGTGGCAGGAAGTCAGTTCCAAGGTGCCCATCGGCCTCCCTGCTCCATCAGACAGTCATGTTCTGTGGCTTTCTCTCGTCACTTCTACCTGTAGCCACCCAGGACGGTGACAATGTCAAGAATGAAAGCGAGTTACGTGGAGGATGTTGGCTTTCTTTGCCCAGTAATAGCTGAGGATTTTTTTTATCCATATCGTAGCCACAGCCTCCTCCCTGTCCACCCCTTCCGGTCCGTTTCCTCCATCCCCTGTCACACTTCCCTAAATCCCCCCTCCTCTTCCATCTCCATCCAGAAAAGGGCAGGTCTCCTATGGCTATCAATATGACAAGTCATATCACGTTTCAGTAATACTAAGCACCTCCCCATGGACTAAGACGGAATAAGGTGACCCAATATGAGGAGTAGGGTCCCAAAAGCCAATAACAGCATTGGAGACAGGACCCTGTTCAGCTGGGAGATTTTTCAGGGAAGCTCTGGCCTTCTTGACTCCTGTCAAGTTCATGAACAGTGAGGAGCCATTGGATTTTAGAAACCTATTGGTGTTCTGAAGAGCCTGGGCCAACCCCTGGGCCTAGAGTGCTCTGTTTAGCTGAACTGAGAGCCATTGAAATAGTGATCCCATTAAAAGTCTCCTTATGCCTGCATTTAACCTTTTGCTTCCAAGGTGATTTGGCTATTGTTGTTTTGTTTCATTTAGTTTGAGGGGCAAGGTCTCATATAGTTCAGGGTCTCATATACTTCAGGCTGGCTTCAAACTTGAGCCGCGTAGTCAAGGAAAACATTGAATGCCTGCTTGATCCTTCTGCGCCAATCTCCTAAGTGCCGGGGTCACAGACGTGTACCATCACACTCACTTCTGTAGTACTGTGATGAAACCTGGGGCTTTGCGCATGCTAAGCAAGCATCCAACCAGCTGAGTTATACCCTCAACTCCTTGTTTGTGTGTTTGTTTCCTTTTGGAGACAGGATCCCATGAAGCCCAGGCTAGTCTCAAATGGGCTATATAGCTGAGGATGTCCTTGAATTTCTGATCCTCCTGCCTCTGCCTCTCAAATGCCGAGATTATGAGTGTGCTCACCAGTCCCTGTTTATGAAGTGCTGAGGGCGGATCCCAGGGACTTGAACATGCTAGACAAACAATGTACTGGGCTAGCCATATCCTCATCCCTTCACCGTGGGTTTCAAAGTTTTCAGTTTGTGTCTGTGTTTGTTTGGGTGTTTTTATTTGGTCTGGGCTGTACTGAACCCTCCCAATTTAGCTAAACTCCATAAGGTTTCGGTGTCTAGGAGTCTGCAATGCACCTGTGTAGAAAACCCCAGGAGCAACCCTGAAAGCCCAAGTTCTGCCCTTGCTCAGTGCAGCCACTGCCTGAAACAATGACAGGGGCCAGCCTGACCCACAGGTGGTGAGCGATAGCCACAAAGCCCCTTCATGCTGTAGTACTCAAGTGCCAGCAGGAGTCACAGCTAACGAGCTTCTGTGTAATAAAAATGTCTCTCGCTTGGTGTGTGTGACTGGGGGTGGGAGTTATTAATGACCTGATGACAGCCCTTTTTCTTCTAATTTCCTTTGGTTATTCTAGGATTTTTTAGAAATTGTTCCCAAGGACAGAGAGGATTTTAGGAAAAACTAATTCTCTGAGAACATCCAGGCTTCCCAGCAGGATTGGAAAAAAAATCTAAAGGCTTTCTGGCTGTCAGCCCTGGCTAAAAACTACTAGGGATTTCTGCCACGTGCATCATGAGACTCAGAAAACAAAGAAAAGAGGAGCTATGAGGTGCTGGCTGTGGCTGGTGCACCCTGGAAAGGTCTCCATGCTGGGCCAGCATGCTCATGCCTCAGGCTTCATATGGAGCGCTGAAGACGGTAGCCCACATGGGTCAAACACTGTCAGTACTGACTGGCCTTCTCACTGGAAGAGATGCTGGAGCCTCTGTGAGGCTGCTGTTCTAGGCCTCGGGGGGTTCTTACTGTTGCTGTGCCTCTCAGCACTGGAGCTGGGCCTGCACCAGTAAACCAACCTGGGCACAAGGGCCCTGCGTGGGTTCTTCAACCTCCAGCTAGAAGGCTGTGGGTGAGAGGGTTTCCAAAATTAGTGGCTCAGTCCCCGTGACACATTTGTGTCATCTGCTGAACTCTGAAAAACAGCAGATGCCTGAGCACCAAGCTAACCTAGCTGAATTTGAATTTCCAAGGGCGGGGCCGATGCTTTCATGTTTTCCCTGAGCTTCCCGGGTGATTTTGACATTCGGCTTCCACTGGAAACCAGCCCCCCCATTGGCCAGTCCTTAGAAACAAAATCAGAGGTAGAGAGGTGGGGAGGGAGGGGTGGTTCCTCATTGCATTTGAGCAATGCAGGGGAACAAGGCTAGGAAGATAGCTCAATGGTTAAAATGCCTGGTGCACAACGTGAGGACCAGAGTTTTGGTTTCCAGAACCTACATAAATGCTGGGTGGGCACAGTGGCCTACCTGTAATTCCAGCTTTAGAAGGTGGAGATGGGAAGCCTAAGCAAGATAAGCTAGTGAAACTAGGCTCATCAGCAAGCTCTGGGTTTGGATGAGAAACCCTGCCTCAATAAATAAGGAGAAGAGTGATCATGGATGATTCCCAAAATCAACCTCAGGTCTACACACACACATGCACATGGACACCCAGGCAGCTCCCCACGCTTACAGTGTGCAGCATTGGAAAATACTTACTGTAATGCTTAGCTGGAGCATCACAGCAATGATGTGCTTTCTCCAGCTGCAACTCCCCATCCCAGCTTTTCACAAGAGCAGGTGTAAGTGTCAAGAATAAGGCTCAACGCAGGATGAGCCCCATCCATTCAACTTTGTTCTGTTAGGTTTTGCTATGCTGTTAATGGATCCCAGGATGCTCCACATGCAGAGGCATTAGCACTGAGCCAGCACCCGCCCACCAGACCCCACCAGACCCCAGTCCCTTTGAGAATGGAGTCTGAGGCGACCCCACACAAGGCAGCATCTCTCAGCCAAGGCCCCAATGCTATGCTGAAAAGCCTGACTAGGAAGAAATCCAGTTGCCAGTTGCAGCCTTTCTAGGAAACTCCAAACCAACGTCTGTGGAGCACCAGCCATATGAATGTGCAGCTACTGTCATTTAAGCCAGCTCAATGACTCCTTGGAGAAAACATACAGTGTTATTTGCTTGATGGTGATCTCCAGCCTAAATCCTCAGTGGCTCCTAGTGGTCACAGCATTCATCCAGAGATGTTCAGACCTCTCCTCCTGTCCCGCACAGCACACTACACCCTGCCCATGCCTTGCTCAGGCTTGTTATTGTAATCCCCTGCTTCTCGCTGAAGCTGCTAATGTGTGGTGCTCGGGACCACTGCCAGTCAAGCCCAGCAGACATGGCAAGATCAGCATCTCCTGTCTGTGGTCCATGAGAACACCACCCAGGCCAGGAGGTGGTCCATTGTAAGAATGCTCAGACGTTTTGGTCTGGGACTGGTAAGACTGAGACACCATTCACTTTTTCCAAGTGGGAGGTATGTTTGACAAGGTTCTAAGTTAGTGCTGGGCAGGAAGGAGACAAAGCCAAAAAAGAACAATTTGGTGGTTGTGTGAGGCTTTCTAGACAGGGCCAGGTCACCAGACCACAAACCGCTGGGGCCACTCTCACTATTGATGCTGAGTCCTGCGTGCAAAAGAGCAAACTATTTACCTTGGGTTTTTCTATTTGTCTGTCTGTCTGCCAGTCTCTGAGACAGGGTCTTACTATGTAGCTCTGGTTTTCCTGAACTCACCATGTAGACCAGGCTGGCCTTGAACTCACAAGAGATCTGAGGCTCATGCCACCATGCCCAACTCCATGTGTTTCTCTTTAAGACAATTTATTATGAATTCCCCTTTTAATACAGCCTCACCTTAGCCAATGATTATCTGTAATATTCTGGTTTGGATGTCAGCATACCTTTGTTTCTTTTGAACCTGTCCTGGATCTCACTCTTATAGACCAGGCTGGCCTCAAACTCACAGAGATCCACCTGCCTCTGCCTCGTGAGTGCTGGAACTAAAGGCGTTCACCACCAAAGCCCGGCTTGTTTCTATTCTAATACACATGAAAATATACTAAAACAAAACAAAAAACCAGTAGAATGTTTTTTAAAATCCCTTTTAATGTAATTCTATCTAAAAGTTTCCTGGGAGTCATCAGAAGTCCAAACATCATGGTTAGAAGAAAAGAAGATGCAAAAGAAAGCACACGTATTTGCACTTTTGGGGGCTGCAGGGATGGGTCCGAGGTTAAGAGCACTGCCTGCTCTTCCACAGGTCCTGAGTTCAATTCCTAGCAATCACATGGTGGCTCACAACCATCTGTAATGAACTGGTGCTGTCTTCTGGTATGCTTGAAAACAAAGCACTCATATACATAAAATAAACAAATACATATTAAAAAGAAAGAAAGAAAGCGGAAAAAACCATGGTCATCTGTCAGTCCTTAAATGCCTTTAGCCTGGAAGTGTGGCTCCCATTTTCCGGCCAGGGATGCTGGGGCTGGGATGGTTTAGGAAGTGGTTTTAGTTAGCATCCTGGTAGGAGAGCAGAGGGCCCTGAGGCAGTGGCTCAGGGGGGTGGGGCCGGCTCTGCAACACTTCAAGCCCTGGGTTCCTCCACTGAGTGTGTGTTCCCTAGAGGTGGGGAGGACAGGAGGCCCAGGTAATCCTCAGCTAGATGCTGAGTTTGATGCTAATATGGAAGAGGAGAAGCCCGGTGCAGATGACGAAGCTTAGGGGAGAGGAGGGGAACAGAGCGGGGGGGGGGGGGGGTACATCAAGATGGCTCAGTGGTTGGGGGCACTTGTGGCTGCCAAGCCTGACAAGCTGAGTTTCCTCCCTGGGACTCACCTTGGGAAGGGGAAAACCAGCTGCCCCAAGATGGCCCCTGACCTACACACACACACACACCAATTAAAATGTTTAAACATTTCTTTAAAGAGAAAGAAGTGGGAGCTGGGATTGGAACGCAGCAGTGCCCTGGCCCGCATGGCGATCCCCTCCATTTCTGCCTTCTTTCTCCTTACAGTCTACTCTGGGCTTCGTGGCCCTGATGCTGAGCACGCTGCACACACTCACCTACGGCTGGACCCGCGCCTTTGAGGAAAACCACTACAAGTTCTACCTGCCGCCTACGTTCACGCTCACACTGTTCCTGCCCTGTGTGATCATCCTGGCCAAGGGCCTCTTCCTCCTTCCCTGCCTCAGCCTCAGACTCTCCAAGATCCGCAGGGGCTGGGAGAAGGATGGTGCTGTCAAGTTCATGCTGCCTGCTGAGCACACGCAGGGGGAGAAAACGAGCCACGTGTGAGGGAGGCCCCGGAAATGGAGACGGGCACAGCTTGTAGGGGCCCTGAGCTGGGCTCAGGTCTCTTCTCTGGATGCTGCAGTGGAGTGATGACACATGGCATAGATGGTTGATACCCAAATTCCTGGGATGCAGGTGAATGTCATGATATTCAGAATGACACGACACACGTGTGATATGCGTTCATATATATTTCATATATAATAGGATTTGAAATTATTCTTACTTAACTAAAAAAACGTGGGTCCACATATTTCAACTTAGGTATTGCAAAGCAAGTGCCACACGTTAAGCAGCAGATCCCACCCTTGTGACATTTGCAGAGACACTTGGCAAAGGAGAGATTTGTATTTCATTGGGTTCTTTAATCTCCTTTCTCTATATTTCCTGTTAGCTACATCCTAAAGTTGGTGCAGAGCTGGGCCAAGAGCTGCCTGGGGGGGGGGGGCGGCCTACCCCACATGCCAGGGCTAAGAAGGCCCTGGGTGTACAGAGGAGCTTCCCTGGGCGTGTGTGGAGAGGCTCACCAAGATGCCCCGGAATCTATGCAAGGTCAGTTCTTCCTCCAGGAAAGGGACTGAAGCTACCCCATCTGATCCTAGCTGAGCTGAGATTGTCCCTCCTCCCTGAAAGTCCAGAGTCACCGCGCAGCCTGCAAATTGATCCTTCTGCGAAGGTGTGAAGTCACCTCCTCGCCCAAGCCATTAATGAACCTGATCTTCAGGAGTATAATTGTTCTCCCTGCATTAAGTTGGTGGCGACCTGCCTTCAAATCGCCATGTCTCCTCACCTTTTCCATCATTAATCTGGACCATCGCCCTGGAAGGCAGGAAGTAGGCTCCTGTCACAGCAGCCCAAGGTGGGGGTGGGTGGCGGCCCCAGGGGGTGGGCACTGAGCTTTCAGGGAATAATCAGCCAAACCACCCCCTTGGATGCGCCCCAGGGGGCTGCCTTCCACAAAAGTGGCCCCTAAGGAGAGTAACAGGGACCCCTTTCGATTTATTCTGTTGCCTGTGGGCAGATAGCCTACCTTCTGAGCATCCACAAACCACACTGGCTGTATGCTCCTCCTCTGGGGGGGGGGGGGGGTTTTGCCATGCCTTTGCCTCCGTCCCTCTCAGTTACAGTCAAGCACTAGAGTCTGCAAATAGTGTTGTTTTTCAATCTTAAAGAGGCCATATTCTCATTTTATTATAACAATTACACTTTCCTTTGTTGTCATTCTTATTACTCTCCTCTTGTGCATGTTTTACTAATTAGACACACTCATGGGCCTGTATAGGGGAAATGTAACTTAGGCGGGTGAGTGTGTGCATGTGTGTTTCGGTCCATCTGCAGATCAGGAGTTCTGCATAGACCCTGTATTATAATTCAGAACAGTTGGGAGGGGCTTTCCCGCTAAAGCTACAAGTGTCAAACTTTGCTGCTCCCAAAGCACAGGAGGCCAGACCATAGCCAGGGCATAGGGTATCTAGTGTCCCAGCCCTGTGCATTCAACTGTGAGGGCAGCTACTCAGCACAACCCCCAAATCAGGGAGCGATCTACCGCCATTACAGAGCAGTGATCCCACGGGGCTACCCTGGGCCAGGAAGCATCTTTTGATGCAGGGAATAAAAGAAGGACCAGCCAACGTACACAGGATGAGATGTTATCTTCCTGCCAGGGAGGCATCATCGGGGACCTTAAGTAAAGGGAGAGAAGCCCATGCAAGAACTTCCCTTTAGGCTCACGATGGGCAGAGGTGTCACCCTGGAGACTCTGGCTGCTTCCTGCAGAAATGGCCAGCCGATGTCCTGTGCCAGAAATAGGGCCTAGAACCTGAACGGGTACCCTTTGTGGCCCACAGAGAGGACCACTGGAGGCAAAACAGATGTCAACATAACCAGGGCCAATGAAGTCCCTGCTGACCAAGAGCAGGAAGAACACGGGAGATACTGAAGGTGGGAGCCACAAAGGGTCCTACCTGGTAGGGGCACACTGCCTTCTCCATCTCTCTCTGGAGGGGGATGTTTCCTTGTGCCAAAGGTACACGCAGGGGGGCGGTGGAGCATCCTCCCTTCCCTCACCCTGCCTCTGCTGCAGCTGCTTACAGATGGGAAGAGGGTACTTGTCAGTCAACCCATGGATGGCGGGTGGACCGTGTACTTGGTCCCAATCTTCTGTCCCATCTCCCCAGGCAGTCAGCAGCTTCCCGAGGGCTGCTCACGCCCTAAGCTTGGTAGACTTCATTCTTTGGGTCCCAGGGTACCCCAGCCCAGTGCTCTAGAAACTAAAGGCCACAGCCTGAGATGGACATGCTGTGTGTGGTGGGTTCAGCTTCCCCTTTTCATCTTGTAGAGCTGTCCCAGAAGCGGTGACAGAACACAGCCACCTTTGGAACTTCAGACTTTCCTTCCGTGCAGTAGGATCACGTGAAAGTTGCTTCCTTTGTGGATCCAGCCTGCTCTGTGGCTGGAGCCTGTGCTCACTTGGCCATACATTAGATGGAGAGGTTGCCAAAGTGAGCATTAGTCTGTGACAGACGTGGCCACTGAGGAATGGCAGGCGTGCAGAGGAGTGACTGGCCAGTGATGGAGCAGGTGAGGTCCCCACGACAGAGTCCGGGTTATAAAAACCAACAGTGCAGGAGGAATGAAAGTCACAGCTGTCCTCTAGCCTACACACACACACACACACACACACACACACACACACACACACACAACCGTGTATTTCTTGGAAGCATAGAAAGTAGATATTTTTTTGTCCCACAAGTTTCTATGATACCAGATGCTTTGTCTCTGCTGAATTTGGTCTCTGATAGTTGTTCAGAAATGCTCCTGCTTCATACTCAAGTAGAAACTTGGATGCACTGGCCATGTGACCCTCCCTCCCCTCCCACGAGGTGAGCAATGAGGCCCTGTCTACTGAGTGCTGATTTCACTTATTGGACCAGAAACCTAGCTTGTTTCTGTAAGTTCCCATTGTAGGTTGAGCCTGGCTTTCAAAAACACTGTCTTAGTTGTGGAAAACTTCCCTACCCATCAGGCTCACACTTCCAGAAGGTTCTATCCTGCTACATCCAGTCTCTGGACTGAAAACACACTTTTTGCTTTATTTTTTTTATTATAGTGTGCATGCATACCTGTGTTTGAGCGTGTGTACGAGCATGTGTGTGAATGTGTGTGTGTGTGTGTGTGCGCGCGCGTGCATTTATGTGTGAGAGAGAGAGAGTCAGGAGGGCAGTTTAAAGGAGTCAGTTTTCTGCTCCCACCATGTAGACTCTGGGGATAGAACGAAGGTCTTGGAAGCACACTCATTTACTCACTGAGCCATTTCCTTTTCTGGTTCCACTGAGCTGTCAGGAAGCAAGGAAATTAGTGGGCCTGAACACAAATGCGACAAACAAAGGGCTCCTGGCTACTGGCTGATTCCTGGTGGAAACCAACTTTGTTCATATCAGCTCACCTTCAACAAGCCACAGGAGAGTCGGCACAGGAGCATCCCCCAGGGACCTCAGACATCAGAGCTGGTGTCTTCTCCACGTGACCAGACCACTGCGCTCGCTCAAGAACCCACAACAGCCATGGCTGCCTGAACAAGATGAAGCCACTCAGTATTCAATCATGGAGCTGTATGCCACCTTCAGCTGAGGAGCTAATGTCACGCTGATGGCTTTTGGAGTAGGGAGAGCCTATTTTAAGGATGTTACAGGTAGACTGGCCATGTTCCAGGGCATGGCCTCAGTCCCATGAATATACAGGCAGCACAATCTGAACTCAGTGGGTTATTAAACCACCACCAACAACAACAAAGACATGAGGTTGGTAGCGAGCCAGAGGGTTTGGGAGACACTGGCAGAATGAGCTGAAGGTAAATATGATCAAAATACATTGTGTGCATGTATGAAATTCTCAAGGAAGTGATTAAAATATCATATTTTTAAAAGAGGCACTGGAGAGATGGCTTTTCAGGTAAGAGCACCTGCTGCTTTTCCAGAAGACCCATTTTCCAGCCTCTACGAGATGGCTCACAACCCTCTGTAGCTCCAGTCCCAGGGGACCCAACACCCTCTTCTGGCCACTGCAGGCACCAGACATGCATGTGGTACACAGACACACATGCAGATGAAAGAGCCATACACATACAGTGAAATAACAATTTCTTTTCAAAAGAAAAAGCAATTAAAACTAACAGCCCTGGGGCAGGAGCTATGGCTTGGGTAAAGAGTGTTTGCTGCTCTTCCAGAGGACGGGAGTCCCGTCCCCAGCACTCACATTAGGTGGCTCACAAGCCCCTGTAATTCCAGCTCCCAGGGATTCCATGCCTGGCCTCAGTAGGCCTGAACACAGGTGGTTCACAAATGCACGTGCATTCCAAATAAAAAGCTGTGAAATGGGAGAGGCTGGAGGGGGGCTTGGTGGTTATTAGCAATTGTTGGCTTGTGTGGCATTCCTAGTGCCCACATGGTGACTCACAAACACCTGTAACCCCCATTCTAGGACCTCCAACAGGTACGCACGCAGTGCTCATACATACATGCAGGCAAACATTCAAACACAAGAAGTAAATAAACGAAAAATCTTAAAAAAGAAAAGGAGGCTCTCATGCACCGATTACTGGAGTTGCAAAGGGAAAAAATTGTGGGAGAAATTGTGAAGAGAGGGGGAAAAAAAAAAAAAAAAAAAACCAAGATTCTCTAAAGCCAGTAAGACTGGAATCTAACTGAAGCAGAAAGCAGTGTTTGCCCGCAAGCAGGGAAACAAATTAAAAGTAAGCCATACTCAGACCTAGCAAGCAGCTCTGAGAAGCAGCCAGGAAAGGCAAAAATGACAGTCACCTACAGTTGTGAAACCATAGGAGACTTCCTAACAGGTCGGTGGAAATCAGAAAATAGTGGCCACAGCTCTTAAAAGGCAGAGGAAGTGATCGCCTTTAGTTATTTATTTGCATATTAATTTCCATATTTACCAGTGACATATTTATGTATATATGTATGTATTATACTTTGAGGAAGGTCTTATTGTAGGCTTGGTGAGCCTGTGACTATGCAGACCAGGCT